ATTTGAATGATCAGACTTATCACCACACGTGCTGTATAAATATGAGTGCATTAGCAGAATCACCTGTATTATATCCAACTAAAGACTTGGTCCCATATTGTTTGAAATGATGTCACCATTCTAATTGCACCCACTGACCATTGTCAGTTCTCTGAGCATTATTCAGAGGATTCCAGATTGGATTTGAACGTTCCACGTGAAGCAGGTTTGTAATTGTAGCTGGGCTAGCGGGTAGATTCTAGTTGCGTGGATCTATATTTTGTTTGATTTTGCCTGCTTTTTATCATGATGATATATTTATTTCAAGAAGTAAACATCTCTAGCATTAACTGTGATTTATGATCAACTTGATTCAACTTAAAGGGTCCTTCATTTGACTACACAACATGGATGCATGCACTTGATATCTGAGTGTGATATGTTGTACAGGTTGATTCTACTTGTACATACCTAGCTTGTACGCTAAGGCTTTACTTTCTAAGACACATTGCTAGTGTAGTAGTATGCTCTCATCACTATCAATAAAAGAAGATTGGAAGAAAAACTGTCCATTCTGACGGCATGTAACTTGCAATCACGTGATGGTTACATGTTCTGAATAAAATGTAAAGTAACAGTTCATCTGTAATGCCTAAGACTTGAATGTTGATACAGATTGACTGTATGTTTGTCTATTGTCAGCCCTGGTGGTTCAAAGTTAAAGGCCAATCGGTCACACTTGGAACGCCCACGTATTCAAATTTGCACCTACTGCTTGAAGTTTCAAACGAATACTGAATTTCAGTATTGGTTTAGTAGATCTGATTGCAAAACAAAGTATGATGTATGCTTGAATGTACTTTTCTAATTCCTTCACTAGCACTATACCACACAGCAAGCCTTGCTAGGCAAAGCTTTTCAAGCTGTCCAATTCTGAAATTTGTAAGTAAATTACTGGAAATAGTCACATGTGTTAAAATAGTAATGCTGTCTTCTGTTTGGAATCTAAGGAAATATCATTATAAAAAGGGATTGAAGTAGACATGGAAATGCTAGATTCTTATTACGATATTAGTCTGTTTGGGAGAGGGCTTTTAAAATATCCTGTAGATGAGCATAATAAATTAATAGGAGTTGATTTTGCTGGGTTAGATTGGAGATTTGTCATTACATACATGTCTAGTGTGCACTGAAATAACGATACAATGGTACTTGGCAAGGTATGATAAGGGATATTTATTGCCCATTCATAAGTGTGTATTATCTCATGATCACAATTAGCAAGTGTGCATATATATATTGCCGAGAGTTCTTTTGATAGTATATGTACAAGTTGAATGCACCGCCGCCTTTATGTATATATATCTTTGATTTGGCCAGTATAAACCAATCAATTATGGTAACCCACCTGTTATTGATGCTGTTATTGAATAGCAAACAGCCAGCTTTTCTTTGTATCATCAATTGGTTGAACAGACGCTGACATTCTGATACTATCGCATTGCACCATTATTCATTCAGTAATTTCTCTCTTTTTTTGGTGTACGGTGCCCATATTTCCCTTTTTGTTGGCAGAAGACGTTATTCCAAATCTTTAGTCCAAGATCACAAAAGGATATTGGATGAAACTGTTGACGCTGTAGCATTGAACTGTAGGGAGGAGGTAGCATCAAATGCTTGCTCAATATTTAATCATCTAAATGGATAAGATTGAACTGTGGTTTATCTGGTCATGAGGGTATGGATTCTAATTTTGGAGCACTTTCTATTTTGTGGTTTTGAACTAATCAACATTGATGTTTCTTATCGTGTGTATTTTTAATATATAGAGATTCATTAGGAAAAGCTAAATTACTGTGAAGGAAGAATTTTTCATTTTTATTGCGTACACATAAATTACAAACTTTTTTTCTAAGAATAAAGCAGCATTCGGTTCTAAGATGTGAAATGCATCAATAATTTGAAATACGTTTGTCTTTAAATTTAATGTATAATAGATTCTTACATGAAACAACGTTGCCTCCATATTTTTTGCAAAACAGTTTGATAGCTAGAACTAAACTTTTTAAGTCTTTTTTTTACATTTAATCTATTTGTGGTAAAAGGTTTATCATACAATGTTTATGATCTTATAAGGTGTTTGTGAAAGTTAAACACGTACAAATTTAGCAACACATTTTAAGAACACAAATCTTTGGTTTAACCCTAACAGTCCTGAATCCTCCAAATTCAATACGATGTTGCACACCCCCTAGGGAGTTAGGGTGACAAGTAATGCTCAATAGGCCCTTGCATATACATTAATGTACAACCATGATAAGAAGAGTTCAGTTAAAACAACATCCTGCTTATAACAAACACAATGTTAGGTCCCAAGTCTTTGTTTTCCAATACTGTTCATACAAGGTACCTGTTATAACAAGGTAATTGGTGAAGTCCCAAGGACCTTGCTATAAAGATGTTGGACTGTATTCATCGGTTTAATTGAGGGAAAATCATGAAACGTTTGGAGGCCCCCCCCCCCAAAAAAAAATGGACATGCGAAAATGGGGGAAAATCTGCTTGAGAAATATAAATATCAATGTTTGGATGGCTGTTCATCTCATCTGAGCATGAACATATCTGTCAAGCAGATACAGCAGGGACTGAGGTATAGTGGCACTGAAGTCTAGCTCCACAAGGATCTTTACCTAGATGTTGTTACAAGCAATATGGTGTATATTATACGTGTACCTCACAATATGAGGTTGGGTGTCTTCAAACCACACCCCCCCCCCCCCATTACACATCTTAATGGAAGATAGTGAGTCTGCAGTATAGACAAAGTCTGCAGGATTATCAAATTGTCTCTAGAAATGACTTCAGTGTAGTCCATGAGTAAACAAGCGTACTATGTCATGAGCAAAGACTGAGTTTGGATATATCTTCTGCACATTGATCAGGTCCAATTTAATGCCAGCACATACTTTAAGGAATGCAAGCCCACTGGCCTCTGCAATTTATTGAGCTTTGTGGTTGCACTTATTTTTTTCAATTTGTATTTAATTTTTGCTTGTAACCTTTTATCGAACGAGAAAATAAGACTTTGAACAGCTTTGTGATACACATTCATCAATCTTGCTGACACTATAGTAGTATGACTGGTTGATTGTTCAAGACTGGTACCAGTGCCACCTGCGATTTAGCTTCTCACTCTAACATGAAAATAAGTATTTATTATCCAATATTTCTTAACTGGAATGGGTTTTTGTTACTATTGTTTTAATTGTGACATAGAACCTAATTAGTCGGTAACTGTTGTTTATATATTGCAATTATAAATATGCTGTATTGTTTATCTATTGGCTTTGCTTTTTGTGTAGTTCTATTAAACTCTACACTGGTTAGGGATATACATGACATGTTGGCCTGCTTGCTGTTTACTGGTTGCAGTCCTAGGATTTGCTTTGTGTCTCATCTTTATATGACCGCTTCTACCAATACATAAACCTTAGGACTTGCACACGATCTGACCAACGTACGCGACAACCAGAAGATGGTATTTGAACGAGGTTGAACAGAAATACACAAATACATTTGTGATGGTATCTGTTCTTTCAATGCAGTTCAGTGGAATGATTGACAAACAACATTCAATGTTACTTTGCAAGTTTGCTCATAGGCCTACTATGTCTAACAGAAACACTAAAAGAGTGTATACAACAGGTTTGAATAGAGTGATCATTTGTGTGACCAGGATACCAGGATTTGATCCTTGGTTTCATGCCAGCTCTACCACACATCATTCTTGATCCGTTCCTCTATTCACATCCAGACTCGGTCTCTTTTTTTCGCAGCTGTCCAATACTTGACCTATTTCTGTTCTTGTACAAAGTTGTAAAACGTACAGTGTAGTTTATACAGATTTCTAGCCTTTTACAGACAACTTGGAATGTTAAATGAAAACCAAGTTACTGTGAGTAAATTTGAACATTTTGATGGATGCACTTTCTAGTTATGGTTTGAATGTGTACTACATGATGTATATAGGCTGTTGCATGTCAGTGTGTTATGGTACTACATTTGTTCTGCATGAATTTCATCCAGTGAGGTTTTAGCTTGGTTTGTAGTGTAGCTCATTGTGCAGTTACAGTAATTATGTTCTTCATCTTATCCTGGACACTGATCCGAGTCAATGAACCTATACCCCAAGTTTAACAAAACTGAGATTGAATGCATTGGATCAGGTGAAGCAACATTTATGTATAGCCTTACTGATGGATGATTGTATACCATAACCTCAGACTTTTCATAGTCAGTCTTTGTTCTCATTAAATCCTTCTCACCATCTGACATGTTAATAGTACGAATCTTACTTTAATTCACGGTACTTGTCCTTTTTATGACCCTGCTGATTTCTCTTTTGTGGTATTCTGGCCAAAAGAACATCAAGTTCTTTGTCCTCCATCCACTGATCCACAATGCATATCATTGATAGTCCATTGACCCCATACAGATAAGACCTATATTTCTTGATCTTACACTGACTATTGCATTCTTACACTGACTGTCTTTCATTCTACATTCATTCATTTGCATTGTTTTAGTCATCTTGATTTAACTGCTGTTTATTCAAATGTTTTATGCATGGCTTGCATGAAGTTTGGTTTTATCCCTTGTGGTTTGATTTGTTTTGTTCCAATTTTGTTGACATATTTAGCTTGTGTTGTGTTATTCTGTGTTTTTGTGCATTTGCAATTTACCAAATAATGTTATACTAAGACATTCAATTATGCACTGCACTGTGTACTTTTGGTGCTGGAACATTCAACATTGAGTGTTTAACTGTATGACATGCAAACTGTTGTCATCTGTATGCGTTCTAGATAAGCAGGAGTTCATTACGTTTCGTTTAAAAAGTGCTTGATTTAGCACTTGTTGATGATCCATTGTAATTTCATTTGGATGATAGCTGATGTCTTGCTTGAGTAAACCATTAACCATCATCTTTTGCCCCTTGTCTTTGCTCCCTGGTGCACTAGGTACGTACAATGTGAACAGAAAAAGTGCAGTACTCCATGCGCAAGTCAGCTAACACCAAGATGCATCAACTCTGTCTTGACATACACGTCCAGGTGATCTTCACAAGATGAAGTGAGTTCCTTGCTATGCCTGGGCTGGTGATGATCCAGCAAGATTGGATGTTGCTCCTTGAAGCGTTGTGTCACAGACTCATCATCACTACTCTCCTTTGTTGGAGGAAGAGGTAGTCCTCAATTATATTTTAAATTTAAGAAATATTTTAAATATAAGGAATAATCCCACCATACATACTTATTGATTCAACTACACTATTTTTTCAGCACATTTTTCAAGCATACCACCAATAGCGTAGTGACAAAATTGGGGGATAGGGGGACCAATGTTTTTGTTTAGACGACGCCAGCGGTGAAAAGGCTCATATTGAAATTTCAGCAAAGATAGACAATCTTTAGTTCACAAGCCTTTTTTGGGCCTTATTGGGGATTTCGATTGGGTAAGGTCAATTCAGTTTAAACCTTAAAATAATAATAATGACAATAAATAAATAAATTAATGAATATTATAAATAAATAAATAAAGCAAATAAAAAGTAAGAAATCCAAACTTGATGTACATTTCACTTTGCCTTGACATGTATTTCTGTAAGGCACCACCATATATAAAAGTACTGTTAGCCAGTAATGTTTCATGTGAAAATAGTATCATCCGTGTTTGGCTGGAAATTGATTGTCTTATAATAGAATCACAATCATAGTTTGCACATGCTAGGAATACATATTATTTACTTAAGTGTGTTATGTTTACTGTAAGGAGAAATGATTTAAGAAATATTATAAATGCAACCAACAACAGCCCATCAGTCCAATGAAACCTGTGAAACACAAGCAATTAGAATGAGGGATGTTTAGTGTGTCTGGGTAGGCTGGTTGGTATTATTTCAGTCAAGATTCTTTTGAATATTATTCCAATTTAAAGTGTAAAACAGCTGGTCATTATCGTCAGGCTTTCATGTTGGCATAGATGAAATTGAGCTGAATTGTGATTTTTATACTGGATCATCTATTCATCTTGAAAACAAAATCAAATCACAAACTGCAATAAAAGCAGATAAGGTCAAGATGAACCTGCTTGGAGAACATTTCTTTGAATATTAGCTACTGAGATAACTGAATCACATGTATGTGGGATACGTTCATCCACTGCGTATTCCACATTAATAATTAAAAGCATTAAACAAAGAAGGAAAAAAGGATGCATTAATTAATTGAAATATACATAAATCCTATTTATTTTTTAGAAAATATTATATTAAATAGTACAAAGAAAGTGAGGTTATTGAAATGAAATTTACTAACTAGGAAGGCGCCAACATCTAGAACATGTTCCATGTGACTCAGCTACTGGTCAGTCATGTATGTCCTTCCATTGCACACTGTTATGTCACTTGTCTGTATAAATTATGCACAGGGTAGTTAATGTAGTGAATGACACATATTTGAGACTTGTGTGGATACAATTTGCTTGCCCTTTTTTAGTTATACTACTCAAAAATAAATAATAAATAAAATGAAGTGTACCATAAAATTGGTATTTTTCAGTATTTTGTAAAATAGAATTTATTACTGTATAAAGAGTAATATATTGCTCACTTTATAATGCTTGAATATCAAATGGTGGTAATGAGATCTAAGGTTGCTAGCCCACCTGATTCACATGCTGTCGTGTGTGTGTATTGGTTAGGATGTTCATCCATAGCTAATATCCCACCTCCTTATATAGTTCATCCAACTCACTCAGCAGTTGCTGGCTGCTTTTTAAAAACTTCCTTCTTGCTACATAAATACATTTATCTGCAAGCAAACTTGAATCCTTGACCCTGATTGGTTGATCCATGGCAGCAAGTGTGATATACTGCTCAGCGTGTCACACTATTCCAAGATGAATGTGCCATTCCCGGCTGCACGCACATGTAATAAGATAACCACTGAAACATTCATCGTTCACACAGCGTGCGTGTTCCATCTTTACTGTGCTTCAAGTTTGCTTGTAGATAAATTTGGTTAATACCCCACTCTCTCTCGTGGAACATGGAAAATGTAGTGCGTCTGTGTCCCACATACATGTACCACTTGGCCTTCGGCCACGTGGTACGTAGGACACAGACGCACTACATTATACATGTACCATGTTCCACTCGTGCTTGTGAGATCATTTTTGGGAAGGGATAATATATTATTAGGCCAAGTGTTAGCCAGAAATATACTTTTCATACTTTTAATGAGTGTGTACAATGCTGAATATTTGGTGACAGGATAGATGCCCTTGTACAGTATGCAGGCACTGTGTTCTTGGGAAGTTTGCTGTTGGGAATATTTGGGCCGACTGTAAGTTCGTTGTCATCTGACTATTTCTGGTTGTACCTGTATGTGTTGACTAGTTCATAATTCTGCCCAAAATATATTTGATGGGGTAGGGAGGAAAGAAGGGTCTTGGGCCCTCTCTTTGCTTGAGGATCATCCTCCAACGGCATCCAGTGAATCAGTCAAGAGTTACCTCCTGATTGTATCAGTTATAGTCTCCTCATTTTGTTGGAGGAATACATCGCATTAAACAAAATATAAGGTTTGTTAGTTGTTTCGGTGATCATTTTCTCAGAAAATGCAATTGTTCATTTCCTGTGTACATTGTTTGCCATCCACGTTAGAAAATGAAGTGAGCATGTAGTTACAGGCCTGGTTTCCTATAAGAGAACATTATCCACTTTTGATGTATTTCACTTACCAATCTAGTTGGCAACATGAAGAACGTGCAGGTGTGTCATAGATAGAGGGCAGGGTTTTGCATTTTTGAGGGAAATTTGGGAGTAAAATGATGATGAAAACAACAAAATGCAAACGAAAATGAAGTTCACCGCGCGATGTACTGTGAACGCGCAAGGCATGCTGAATCGCACGGTTGGCATAAACCGCATATGAAAATCTTAATTTCTACCCCAAGAAACTGTTCAAAATTACAAAAAAAACAGTGCCGTAAGAAATGAAAGAAGTTAACTTTAGATCGGAAAGGTCATTTTTGTATGATAAAAAACACCCTTGACTCTAATTTGGTCGAAACTAAAGAGGGGCCCGTAACTACACGATCGCTGAAAATGAGGTGGTTACAGCAAGGCAGGTCTTGTATCTAAATCAGTAGGCTCTATATATTACGAAGAGAAACACACAAATGTATACTAGTGGTGCTAGCGGCAAATCAGTGATTTGTATATACTTCTAGTTATTCTGGCTTTTCAAGGCAGAATCTGTATGTAATAAAACTTTATTATTAAAATATTATTTGAAAGAAAGATGTTCTCTATTTTGCACATCCATGTAAATTCTATGTAACTGTAGTGGGTACAGAAGACCAGACAGCCACAATAGATATATCTTCATACTAAATAAAGCGCCAGCGCCTTGAGCACCTAATTGTTGGTAGATATGTGTGCTATATAAGACTCCGTATTAAATCAAGCCACAAAGACCGACTGTAAACCACTTGGTGCTGAAACTTGTTTTGTGTGTAGGTTATGGTCAAACAATTGGCATTTGTCAAATGGGATTTTCTTATTTCATTGGGTGTAATTATTATAGTGCTTAGTCGGTGGAAATGTGTCTTCACTTGGTTCTATATAAATTGTGTGAAAATATTCAAAATTAACAGCTACCATTTGTGCATTCATAGATTATAACTAGTGAATAGACAAGGAAATACATGTAATTTATGTGGTTTGGAAGGCAATGCATTGTTGAAATACTGACATGTACAAAATATTGAAGATTAAGTTTAATTATGAATCAACTTAAAAGTTGACTACCATGTTAATGTCTTGATAATTTACACACAGAAACATACATAATATTGAAGACAGACTCACAACCCAATGGACCAATCTGTTTGATATAACCCGAACCACACCTCCTCCGCATATACGGAGAAATGCTTTCCCATAGCATAATAAACACGATGTCTTTTATTAGGAGCAATATGGAAGTTATGTAACTTGATATTTTAATAAAATAGCAAGACTAAGTTGGCAGTGAGCCATCTTGAGTTATACAAGTTTGAGCATTTGTGAGTTATTGCAGCTGAATTCAATTTGTGATATTTTGTACCCATGCAAATCATGTTTCAGATTGTGTAAGCACCACTTTTCATCAAGCTTGCAGTTATCCTCCCGTAGCCCACTCTTAATAATATACCTCATTGCATATAGATTTTAACCAAACTAACAAACTTAAACATTTTTGTCCCTGTAATAATGGCTCTATTATAAGATAATGCTCCCTACTATTTACGTAAATACAACCATGCATACAGCAGGACAGGGGCATAAACATGGATGTTTATGTATATTATACATACAATCATGAATGAACAGTGCCATCCTTGCAGTCAGTTAGCGCTGCTCCCACCCCCCTCACCTTTTTAATATACATTTTCCAAGCTGCCAGTTCCCCCCCCCCACCCCGAATGTTGACAAGAAATTGCTTCTCCTGCACATCACATAAAACACAAAATGGAACCTACCAACACTGTTCTAAGCTTTGGACAAAATTTTGTTTTATTGCATTTGTACCTTTCAGTCTTGATTAGTGAACAATAAGCTTTACACAGCATATGGCTGGCCTTATGAAAAGTAAGAGAACAATCAAGGCAAGGTAAATCATATCAGGAGGATAGTATGTAAATCATTTTGAAACTAGAGATTCGCGTTTGTTGAGTTACAAACGCAGAGTGGTTGGGCAGACAACTATTTCATTAAACACTGCCCAGTGAAGTTATGAATATTTTTATGTCAGAAGAAAGGATTCGAAATGTAATCTTTCCAGTATAACCAATTATTAGTTTGTTTTTAAAAAAATGCATCTTTTGGGGTATGATGCATTTCAGTAAACATTTTATGCACATGTCCAAGTTATTTCTGGTTTGATGACGTCATCAGTCAAAAAGGGGAAGTGAATACTGATTTACTTCGGAGAGGATACATGTTCATAGTGAAGTTAAAATTATTGGCTCTAGAACCGCTGTTTTTTGTGCCTGGCATTTCTCACTAAACACTTGTCTAAAGTAAAATGCTTCTACTTTCGAGTTACATATTCAATTTTATTGCACTTCCGGTAACACTGGAAGTCAAGGTCCAGCGGTTTTGTGCCAGGGAATTTAAAATGTTGCTAAAGGCACCTTCTACAACCTCACGAAAAACGCACACAATACTCGATTTAGTTCAAACGATATAGCTGTACTTCTATAATAATTGACAGAGAGCAGATACAAATGATTCTTATTAACATTCAAATCATAGCAAAACAGTCCATTTATATTGCAGGTTTCTGACACTTTAAAGGAAAACACACAAAAAGAGTCATTATTCAATTTAACGAACAAGTCAGTTTGTTATGTAAGTCTCCAAAAAGGAGTTATCATGTGATATAAGGCAGCCACCCAACTTGCTTAGAACATTAAAGGAATTGTACTTTACTGAATTCATTTATTGAATCAATATATCATGAAAGGCAATTTGTTTCAAATTTTACAACATGAATACATACAATAATAACAATTTCAAAATACCTCAAGTATTAAATAATTCAACATCAAAAGTAAGAGAAAGCATTAAATTATTTAACATCTTAAAATAATATATCTATCATTTACTTCAAAAATATTATTTTATAACTCTAAATATATTAGAACTTTATTATTCCAAAGCTTTGCTTATATATAAGTGTTCCTCAAACATCCAAAGTATCAAAAATTACATGATTTCTTGATCATTTTGCCACGTCAGCTCGGCTGTTTAAAAACGATATGTGCTTAAAGCTGCCCTCAGGTCGACCTTGCAACGACAGAGAACAGTCAGAGACTGACTTTCAGGATCAAGCTGTGCCTGAGCTACGACCGTCGGGAACAAATCAGTTGCCGATTCCAGTTTGCGCTCAAAATAATTGACAGTCAAAAGAGTAGAAAAATTCTTCCCGACGAGCATTCCCGACGAGCTGGAATCAATCGCAGTCGACCTGTGTGAAGTTATGACATCATGCGCGCACCCGAAATCATCTAATTGTATTGTGATTTGCCGTCGCGTCGTGCGTGACGTGAGCATGGTTGCAATTATTCCGTGACCAGATGATGCTTGTTCTACAATAATCGCAGGATTTCTGAGTTTTGTGAGCTGTACCTTTCTGCTTGATACCGACGGTTCCGTTGCAGGGCAAGCAACTCACAGGTTGACCTGAGGGTGGCTTTAAATCAGCAGGTAGATTGCTTCATCAACAGATACTATAGAATTTAAATGATCAATGTGAAATCTTTTTTAATCTTCTCTCTTTGGAAATGGCAACATGAAGATTGAAAAGAAATTAAATGGGACACAAAGGTGCATTTTCATGGCTTACATTTTCTGACAAGGATTACTACCATATATTAACAAACATACCTTTGGTTTTGATTGCGAGTACTGTTTACACATACCCAAATGAAAGTGATAGATGGGTCATATATCTTGCATATCATGACTGATTGCTGGCATGAATTCTAGCGCGTCCTCCTCCTGTGGCGCATCCACTGGTTCTAGTAGCTCCACCCAGTACAGCAATGTCTTGGCCTTGGTCCAACTGTAGCCATTGTCAAACCTGACCACATCTAAAAGTCAGACAAAATTCACTATCACACCAAGCACAGATAACAACAGTCTACATTATGATGTAGTGAAAGTAAATACAGTCAAACGAATACAGGTCAACTCGTACGCGAACCAACTCGTACGCGACCAACTCGTACGCGGGTCAATTCGTACGCGAACCGACTCGTACGCGGACCGACTCGTACGCGGACCGACTCGTACGCGGACCAACTCGTACGCGGACCAACTCGTACGCGTGAGTTTAGACGATTGGTTTAGCTCACATGGACAGATGAAATTAGGTTCGGTACGGTAGGTCGGCATAATTTTACCTTTTCTGAAAGGTTGAGATTTTCAAATTAAATGTAGTTGATTTTTGAATCCGCCAGTGCTACTTACATTTGCGATTTTTTAGAGAAGAATTCTGCGTTTTTTTTGTTTTTTTACAAGTCCGCTTGATTGATTGGGAAGTTGTCTTCGCGATAACCAGTATGATTGGTTCCCGCCGCACCGCGCACTGTACAAAGAATGCATGATTGAATCGCTGTAACCTGTGTATGCCGCGGTACAATTGCTGGTTGGTTAGACAAGTAAAATGACAAGAAAACACCGATATTTGCGAGGTCTATTGTATAAAAAGGAGCTACTATAAAAAAAGGAATATAGCATCACGCATGCTTATACAGTTGTACGGACAGTGTCCGCCAGTTTTTTTGCTTGGGTCAAATAGTTTTTTAGCCCTAATTATTATATATCCAAAGAATATTTTGTAAAAAAAGAAAAAATGGGGAGTTGATTTTTATTTTTTGTTAAAATCAGAATTTTATATAATTTCACCGGAAATGCGAGGTTTCTTGGGTCAAATGCGATTTTCTTGGGTCAGAAAATTAATTTTTTGCTTGGGTCCGATAATTTTTTAGTCCTAATTATTATGTATCCAAATTATATTTTGTAAATTAAAACGATGGGGAGGTGAATTTCATTGATTGGGGCGGAATGTGCAGGGTTCGACCTCAACTTCTTTTGTTCACTAGCCAGCCGGGCTACTGGCCGGACCCACGGGCATTTCTACTAGCCCGCATTTTTTTCTTATCTCAGATACAAAATGGCGTATTTTCAAGCGCAATTCTGAGGGAATTTTGTTTGTGTTTTTGATTAACAGATCAGATAATTTAATCCTTTAAAACAGTTGATAATTAGACACAAATTAAAGGGGTTTCTTTTGATCTTCTAAACCCGCCGGTTCTTTTAGGACACCGAACCGCGAGAACAGATCCATGGTAGTCCAGAGCGTTGCAATTGGGTCAGTTTGACAATGGTGACAATTAATTGACTAACAGGTACATTGATTAAAAAAACACGAAAAATGCAACTTGTACATCGTTGCATTCATATATGGAATTAAATTTGACGTGACAAGGCTAAAGGTATGCACAAAACGATACAACACTCGTCTAACTACAAAAATCAGTTACTTTATTATCATCATTCACGGGTTCACTCCCAATCACACACAACGGTCACACATTGAACTACGGACTACCCGTCACACTATTCCCAAATTCTTCCCAACCATGCCAACCCAATCCTCGAAACCACTCCTAAAACGGCCCGAGTACGAGTTGGTTCGCGTACGAGTTGGCTCGCGTACGAGTTGGCTCGCGTACGAGTTGGCACGCGTACGAGTTGGCTCGCGTACGAGTTGTCTCGCGTACGAGTTGACCAATCCGCGTACGAGTTGACTCGCGTACGAGTTGGTTCGCGTACGAGTTGACCTGTTTCCAGTCAAACCTGCCTTAGCGACCCACTGTACACAAAGACCACCTGTCCGTAACGACCATTTAAAAATCCCCCGCTGACAAATCCCGTTACTTAAGTCCTGTATAGAAAGACCACCTGCTTAACGCGACCAGCGACCGCACATTTTGCTTCCGTAGGAATGCTAAAGTCTGTACAGAACGACCGCAAGCCATGAAAAGCGACCACAAAATGCCCTCTTGTTTCTGTACAATGGTTGATTCCTTACTCAAAAGAAAAAGCAAGAGCCACATAAACCACTTCAGAGGATTAGTAACTCAACCGCAGGATTTCCAGGACATTTTCAAGCTTAATCTGGGGCCGTGGTCGCATCAACAATGCCCCTATTGTCAGTGCAGCAGTTTGGATAGCTGAGCTCCATTCAACAAAATGCACTAGGCATGTGCATGACTTGTGACCTGTCAGTCTCGTCCACTCACATACTTTTGTTATCATTAAAATAAATTAAATTAAAATTCGTTTACATGTTTTCTAAAAATCAAAAACACACAACATACTCAAGGATTTTTGTTGTCAAGTTTATTGATCAACTTTATTTTTAAATCGTGAAAAAAAAGGTTTAAATTTTTTTGGTGCTCTTAATCGACCTTTGAGCTTTTCAGCAAGTTTGCTAGCATGTGCAATTTTGCACATTGTGTTTACACAACATCGCGTAGATTACATCTGCCCTGTAATGCCAGTTTGTTCCAATATTGCTTTTGAAAAAGAAAGAATGTGGCTCCATATTCTTCAAGCCCGAATCCTGGAAGGAATTATTGAAGTTAGCTTTCACTTCAAATGAAAATGGAGGTCATAACTTAAGTTGATCGTGTGATCGTCAAGAATCTTGGAAAGAGAAACTTCCCCTTCGTTGTACTTGTAGGACCCTACTTTTACTTGTGGTTGTGCAGGTATTGCTGCTCCAGTACAGCTAATTCTCACATAATATTAACATAAAATAATAAACACTTTTTGAAATCATTCACATTTATGACTTTTAATTTCATTTTTTTTTTTTAAGGAATAGTTATGTTTTAAACAAATAACTAAAAGAAAGAAGAACATACATGTACGTTTGGATAAGGCAGGTTTAGACTGTAATGACCCCCCGCATTAAGTTAGGGAAGCCAAAGGGAGGGCAAATATTTCCAACCTGTACAGAGAGACCACCTGTCTATAAAGACCGCTTTTATTGTTTCCCTTGAGCGGTCTTTCTGTACAGGTTTGACTGTATCTCAAAACCACGGACATATTGCTGGGAACTTTCTCAGTACTGAATGGTATGAAATTGCTGAATCTTGCTATAGGTAACACCCTGCAAGCATTGCTATTCCTCAAGTTGATTAGCTAACCCCCTCTTAATCTTGCCACATATAATGCAAGAAATGGATTTAAGATAAACACACATCCCTAGTTCTAAACTTCATTCATCACATTATGCATTATGCAACTGCCTGCATACTTTATTGCAGATGTGTAAGTTCAGCTTTAATCACATTGTTCAAACCAAAAAGGGATTAGTTTGAAAAAGTTCAAGAAAGCATGTAAAGGATTACATCATTTCTAAAACACACTAAGGTTGAAACAGAATGCATGGGAAATACACAAAATGCATCGAGTGAGTTACTTGCAGACTTTCTGTAAAACATTGAATATGAACCTCTACAAATACTTTCATGTTCAACAAAGCTAGCACAAATGAATGGCAAGGTTTCTGACAGTTCACAGTGTCAATGGTGGATGAGGGTTTCATCACTGCTTAAAAAGTGAAGTCAATAAGAATAGTCTGATAGACTGAGTAGAAATTGACACATAAAGCTTGTACGGCCAAAAAAAAAAAGTCTCCGGTTTCTGGTATGCGCGCGCGTCGTCGTAGCCATGCACGTCTGTAAACTGAAAAAGTTTTTTTTCAATGAAAGATAATGTCTCAAAACCGCCAAACTCACTGGTTTGACTGGAATCCTGCTGCTGCACAATTTTAACGAGTTTTTAGATGGGGTTATGATCGAGTATAAGCTTTATGTGGCCTCTCTGGACTCCCATATATTTGCACTAAGTTTAGTCGGGCACCATTTGCAGTCATCAGCTGACATTTGAAGAAAAAAAAAAGCCTCGTCGCCGGACTACTTTGGGGGCAAGCTCCATACCAGAATCCGGAGACCTTTTTTTGTTTTGGCCTAATGTCTGGATTTTGTTGCATCTGGCATACATGGACATCTTATTACAAAAATTTCACACTTTGAACAACTAGTTCTTGTTCGTTTGTTAGAGATTGCCTGGAGTGCAATTCCCACTGTTTGTCAGTCAGGATGAGAGAGAAGAAATGACTATTCTTACATGTTCCTGTTTCTTGTAAGCTGATTTCTCCATCCTCTGGCACCAGGTGACAGTTATATCGCTGCTTTGTCAAGACATCAAGTTTCTCACCATCATCAGCAATTCGTCTGATGCCAAACGCAAGGTCGTAATTTTCTGTCTTAAACTCGTATCTATACATGAAGGTAGGGTTTTCAAATGATCATCACATGACACTGGACTGACTCTCTAGGCTCATATGAGCAGCTGAAGCATGAGACATTTATGTTCATCACCCAACTGGACATTGAGCATATTGCCTGTCCATACATACTAAGGGGTTTCATCACTGCTTAAAAAGTGAAGTCGGCCATATTGAATTGAAAGTGAGGTAAAATCTTAATTTTTGGAACTTGCGAAGAGAAATGAAAGCAAGTTAACATATAATAAATTCCAGTCTGCTTCAATTTATAATTTAACATTCCTTAATGTTTCAAGCCATATTTCAAAACAAAAAAATGACAGTAAATGAAGGCTGCATTGTGCCTGCATAAAAAATCCGGCGCCCTCCCATTCAACAGTTTACAATTAATGAAATACATTTCGGGAACTCGACAAAAATGGCCAACTCGTGAATAAGGCCCATGGCCGATTCAAATAAGGCTCTGGGAGAAAATGACAAGATAGTTTTGAAAACTTATATATCACAATGCTGAAACTTGAAATGAGCAAAAGGTGACCCTTATAACTGAAAATGTGGCAATTGTGTGGAATGTTCACAGAGTATATGAGATGTGAAGACCTAGACATCAGATCAGATCCAAAAGCCAATCCCTGTAAATTGGTCAGTTATACACTTGTTACTGGGTGGTGATTAGTTGGGGCCCCACTTACCTTAGTATGCTAGCAGGCTTGCTAACCTGATACTTGAGTTCTAAGCAGCTAGCTCTAGACAGCTCATATCTCATCAAGTCCTGGCTGGATACATCTCTACCTTTAATGTAATAACTCTCAGGAACTTTACCACCCATGACAATCTGTAGACAAATAATCACAGGATAGAATGCATACAATCTGCAGTATTATCTAGTTACTTGAGTACACACTCCATGCTCTATAGTTTAGTCGGAAAAGGGGGTATCGTGCACCCTCGGAAATCAACTTCTAATCAACGTCTCTAGGTCTGAAAGAATGTTGCTATGTTAAAAAATTCAAAAAATGTCCCACGTATTGTTTTTATGCAAATTAGTAACGCCATTACCGAAAAATCTATTTTTCACTATATCTCAGCCAATATTGCAGATAACTGAACAAAGTAGGTGTCTAAACCCATGTTTTCAAGGTCAGAGATCACAATAAAACTATTCTGGAAGTAACCACATGTGTCTGTGGCATAGGAATATGCAAATTTGTTCCGCTAATAACAGAAAATCATGTTTTTGGTAAATCTCGGCCAATATAGCACATAACTACACAAGTAAGGTGTCTAAATCCATGTTTTGAGGGTCACGTATCATTAGAAGAACATTCACGAAGTAACCATGTGTGTCTTTGGCATGAAAATATGTAAATTATAAAGTGTCGATTTATAAGAAATTTGATTTTAAGCCAATATCTCGGCCAATATTGCACATAACTACACAAGTAAGGTGTCCAAACCCATGTTTTGAGGGTCAGGTATCCTTAGAAGACCATTCACGAAGTAACTATGTGTGTCTTTGGCATAAAAATATGTAAATTCTAAATTGCCGGTTTATCAGATATATGCGGCACTAATTTGCATATTCCTATGCCACAGACACATGTGGTTACTTCCAGAATAGTTTTATTGTGATCTCTGACCTTCAAAACATGGGTTTAGACACCTTATTCGTTCAGTTATCTGCAATATTGGCTGAGATATAGTGAAAAATAGGTTTTTCGGTAATGGCGGCACTAATTTGCATAAAAACAATACGTGGGACATTTTTTGATTTCTTTAACATAGCAAATCGTTTTCTGCATTTTTTCTGATCTAGAGACGTTGATTAGGAGTTGATTTCCAAGGGTGCATGATACCCCCTTCTTCCTACCCAACTACTATTCTTGTTTTGGCCAACAGCAGTGCCATAAAAGCAACTTAAAAAATATTTCATGTTCTTACAAAACCCATCAGCCTTTCAAAGATATGGCAGACACAATAGACAGACACTATTAGCTTGGTAAATTTGGGTAATACAAAAGAATTAACCCAACCCAAATAGCGCCCTCAAACTGCGTCCATCAAGGCTAAAAAAAAATGGGACAAAAGCGAACTGTTCGACTTTACATATACCATACATGTGTAAATAGAAAATACAGTCATCAGCCAAAAGAAAGACGGAGAGAGAACAAAAGGAACCAATAAAGAAAAACAATAGGAACATTTGGAATCCTTAAACTCATTAAAGGATGTGTTGCACTGAGTTCGCCAGATGTCAACAACTGACCAAGATTTCCAGCTGTCTCAACTCTAAGAAAAATCATTGGGACGGTTTCACATTACAAAGTAATAATTCTCCAGCATCCGTTGAGACCTGGACGCTGGTTAGCGTGATAATGCTGTCAGTGGATATTTGCAGACATAGGTGATGAGCATTCAGCACGTGAATCATACTACAACATCGATGAGACTTCACATCAATCAGATCACTTTGGCACAAGGAATACCATAATTCCGGTGAAGGGTGTCATGTTGATCCTTTATCACATTATTGAATTTTGCTTTGAGGTCAACCTGAAACTCTGGCACTTGCAGGAATTGAGATGAATTCACGAGGGATGTTGGTCATTTTCTAGCATGGGTGTCCCTTCCCACGACTGCATTTTGGTAAGATTTCTCAAGCTTGAGCAAAATGTTCAAGAGGGCTCAAAAGTCCTTTATTTTACAGCAAATCTTACTTTCATGGGAAAGAAAGGGTCAAGATGTTCATTGTGTAAGTAGGAGCAAAAATGACACCAGAAGTTGAATAAGGTCAGAAGCATTGCAGGAGTAATGACAATCACAAGAGCGAATAGCAACTACAATACACAGAACTCAACTAGTAACAGTTATGCGAATTGCATCATGCAATGTATGTACATGCACAAAACAGAAGTTACAAGAACTAAACAGAGAGCAAAATCCACAGTAATCATTTGTAAAACATTAATAAGAACTAGATTTGCAACAGAAATAGTCATAAGAACAGAAACAGGGAACTGTAACAGAAGCAATACTGGATATGAGAAATGACAAGGAAAGGATAGTAGAACCATTGCAATTAGAGGGGATATGAGTTGAAGCACAGAAAAGGAATGTAATGCTAATGTACTGCCAAAAGACTGACCTAAAATATATACCAGGGACAGCAACATGAATCAGTAGTAGTCTGCACACATTCTTACTTGATGTTGACAGTATGGATCCCCATCTGGCCCTGTTGCCGTGCCTCCATAATGGACTGGTAGATTGTCAGCATCTATGTATCTCAGCAGTACTTCCTTCCAATTACCTGCACATACAAATCAAACCGAAGATTCATGTGTTAACCTGTCTGACAATTGTCACTACATAAAAAACTCTCATCACATTTAAGCTTGTAAATAATGTGACCTCACGATAAGTACATAGAGTACTGAAGTGTGACGTCATTTAGAACCAGAAAGTGCAAAAATGAATGGAGTACACGCGCGTGTTGGTTCACAGGATGAATCATGCACTAATGTTTTTCACACACATTTTGTGTACGTGATGTATTCACTTCAGTATTCTATACAGAGTGTCCCCCCCCCCCCCACCAAAAAAAAATGTTACCTGTGACATTTTTCAGGATTGCTATTCATTTGATATGGTGACGTAGTTGTTAGCTTACAGCTCTGTGTATATAATCCTGATGCCTAACTATCTGGTCTGATCATGCCTGACCTGAGGTGGCTGCTGTATATGAGGTTTACTGAGTAGACTTCACCAGTATACCAATGCACATTTTTCCTGTCACGTTACATAAACTGTTTATGACTACTGTACACATTATCTTTCCTAAATTCCACAATGGACTTATTTAACAGTTTATGGATAACTTGAAAGATTTGACAGTTATGGAAGGCATTTTAAGCACAGTCACTTTTTTTTACATAAGTGGTTACTTTACTTGACTTGTGGAAATTACACCAAAATTGTCCAATAGAAACACAGCTCATTGTGTCTTTAGGGAGATTAACTCAGAATTCATCCACATTGAAGTGTGTTAAAAATAGTTAGGGAAAAAAAGGGGAAAAGAGAAAAACAAAACAAATGCAGTAAATTAGGCCACAACAGTCGATTAATTAAAGGTTGTACAAGGAAATATTTAACTAATGGAATTCTGCCCATCATCTTGGTCAAACTTTAATCAAGTCCAAACATGCCTTTTGTTGTTTTGACAGTCACCATTTTGCATGTGATCGTTCCTCTCAAGTCTTTATGCCTTGTAGTTTATGCTTATACCCAATGAAAAACTTGGTGACACAGTTTCAACAATCCACATTTTGTTTATGACACTAAATGATGTAGTATAGTTCCTACAAGCCGAGAAGAGCGAATTAAAGGGAATATACAACATTTGCAAACATCGAAAAATAAAACTACCAAGTTTTTGCGAAATACCTTAATAGGATGTTGGTAAATGACAGTCTAAAGCATCCTGTAAAATTATGGCACCTGGTATACTGTCATTTTCAAGAAAAGTGGTATTTTTGTATCAATTTCCAACGCTGATCGGCCGATCAGCGTTGGAAACAACTGGCTTTTTTTTTCAAATACTGGCCCCAATTGACCATTGCACTTGTTTGCAATCGATTACAAACCTATGAACGGGTACGAGCCAGCTAGACTGGTTCCCTGACCTTACAATTCCCCAATGTATGTAAACTGCTCTGTTTCTTCTTATATGGAGTCAGGGAACCAGAATACAGGAAAATGATCGTTTTTCTTGGTTTTTATAGCATTTTCGAACCCAAAACCTCAAAAAAGTCAGTGTAACTATATTTGCTTTATATTTCCAACCCCCCAATTCCATCCATTTCTGAAAATTACAGCAAAAGCAAATGATGTATATTCCCTTTAAGTATGGGCTCCGTGCACAAGTACCCCCTCAATGGTAAGAAAGGGAGAGTTGGGAGAGACTACTGGGAGAGACATTGGAATGCATTGCTGATGGTGCCTGATGCTCACGTGGAGATACAATGGCTTCGTGTCTTGAGATTGTACATATCAGTACTATCACCGCTATATTATAAAGAAGGGTATGCGTGTTTTATTATATGTATGGGTGTGTTCACGCGTTGCTTGACCGTGAAGCGGGCGGCAGGCGGCGAGGCAAAGCCTCATTCAAAATTGTGCTATACCCGCACAACCAGTACATGCAAATGATGTGTCCCGTCCCTTGACTCTCGAAAGTGGTAAAAGAGCGCCCTCTCTTGTTTGCTCACAGAGCCCATCAATCACGAACCATAAACTTACTTCCTACGACGTTGACTTTCCTCCTTGTATATTCCTGAAGGAATGGCTTGACAAGAGAATAGGCTAGTGGGAAAAACTTGGGTGCATTGATAACAAAAATCATCTTTAGCGTCTCAGGATAATGCTGTTCAAAAAGTGCTGCACACTGAAAGAGAAAAGAAACATGACATTCTTTAGTGCCTTGTCTGTTCATTCTGGTATAGTGTACATGCAATATAAATATCACTCAGTTAAGATGAACTCCTGGCTATATATATGAATTATGCACATTTCTAAAGGAAAACAAAAAAACTCAAAATGAACACAAACAGGAGAAACTTTGGATAAAGATATTCTATACTTGCTTTTATGACTGTGGCAACCCAAAAAAATTGATTTTCAAATTGAATTGATAATTTTCTAGCATTACATTTGTTATGAGTTTTCCTGTTAGTTATCGAACAAATTCAACAAAGTGTACATGAGGTGTTCACATATATGCGAAGCAGTGTAGCTTGTGTAAACAGTTTGTATGAAGTATGGTAAACAGTCATTTTTCAGAGATGCCACAAGGTCTGCTTGAAAAACTGGAACTGGGTCTGCTTGAAAAAACTGGAATAGTTGCTTGAAAAAAAACCGGAACTTTATTTTTCATGAAAAAGCCACTCCGACACAAAGTCCCCGTTTCTCCAAGCCTTTCCATTTATTTTTGCTTCTATGGCCTTTAAGCTGTTGGTTCATTCAATCACTTTGAATTTGTCCATATTCCTAATATTTATTCTGCCTACCCGAATTTCCAGCGTAATAATATAATATTCGACACGAAACATGCACGATTCCACAACACTGTCGGTGTACATGCCCTTTGCACTACGTGATGTGCGCGATGAAAACATGGTTGGTACCCGTTTTTTTTTTGTATTCACATATATCACTGCGATCGGGAACCACCGATAACTGAAAAGATAGACTTTATTTCCACGCTGAATGCGTTGTGTGCTTAGCACGCAACACGCCCACAGGCAGTGCAGCATGAGAGGCGCCGTTGTATACTGCGTGGAAGTACGTTGGCCGCCTGTATAGCATGCAGGCTCGGCAACAACAAAGACTTGTTTTGTAAGGTTACTTCAACAAACAACGTTGTGCTGTGCGTGCGCAATTCTTACAACCATAGTGTAAACCTGGAAGCGCTAATGAGGTAAAAATCAACGCATTTCCACAGTTTTTCTTCTCTTTTTCCATTTTTTTTTACGGTGGGAAAAACCGGAATTTTATGAGATTTAAAAAGACCTGGAATTCTGGTTAAAACCGGAAAAGTGGCATCTCTGATTTTATAGACGGGACATGTGGTCATTCTAGACCAATGAAATTACAGTATTCAAGACACAATAAAACTAGGCCGAAAGAAAGAAATGTTGTGTTTATTTAATTAGGAGCCACGATAAAACAAAAATTGTCTTACATAGAGTCGGCAATGATTTTTTTTAAAGTAAGTTTGCGAGAAGTCCCACCACAATAGCAAAAGTAGATAATAAAGCAGGACAAGTTCTTTTTGAGCTAAGCAAGACAGTTCTTATCAGAACTAAATCTACTGAGTGCCAGTAGTTACATGTTTTACCACATGTTGTTAACCCAAACCGAAACTATATCTTTATATTAATATTTTAAAACATACCCCATTGGAAAAATGTATACAAAGACTGCCATGATGCACAGGAACATACATTTTAAAAAAATCTATAAAAAAAATAACAAATCCCGATCGACCAACCCTTCATTTTTCAGATTGTCATTACAGTGACACCATTGACAAGATTGCTATGGGTTTTGCAGTTTGGCTTTTCATGGGTACATGATATGGCTGAGTTTGGATTCTCTTGTTATATTATGACAAGTATTTTGCTGATGACAGAGTACACTGTTTGAAAGGTTGAGTTAAATTACTTTATCTGAACCACATTCAACCAAAAGTAGGTACACACTGCTATTGCCAAACTCTGGCAACCCTGATGGTTGATTGCAGTCCAGAGTGTCTGATACGTACATGCTGCTTAGGGATTGCATTTACACGTACCTGATTGAATACATCAACTCCTGGCTTCCACAGATGATGTAATCCTAGATTCTCCAGGTCTGCTATGTAAATAATGCCATCAACATGTCTGCCAAGCTGAAAGGTCAAACATGCAAGCAAAGTATCATGGGGTCAAATCATGGGATCATGATCATCATCATCAAATAAATAACAAACAATAACTAGAAAGCACTGAGAGAGCGCAAACCTCCGCCAAGGCTAAACAATTCCCCGCCATATTGTCAGTACACCCAAAAGAAATACTCGCATATCCACTGCACTTGTATATGTTAGTATACAGGCTGGTCACCAACTACCAGAAAGCACTATGGATTACACCGTATAACTGCCAAAGCTTGTTGAAGTGGTTTGATAGATAGGTTGACCTGACAATGCACCAACATGAGGCCAGTTTACAGACCTGTTATAACAGATTTGCATCAATTGCCTGTGTATTTCATTGTCTGTGTATTGGCGTGGGCGGTGTACTGCAGTGCGTTGTATTGGCATGGGCGGTCTGAACAACTCGTGAACGCAGCACATACACACACATAATGGTGAAGAATCCTTTAGAAAAACCTGGATCCAGACCCACATCCGGATCACTTCCAAATCTGATCAATTTGTACAAATTTTCATGAAAATCTGTGCATAACTTTTTGAGTTATCCTGTTGTTATAACCAACCAACCAAGACACAAACCAACACCAAAACATAACCTCCTTGGCGGAGGTTATAACAATAAAACTGATGGAACTTCTACCAACATCCCCAAAATGCTTGGGTGTAACCTTGGCTAAAAATCACGTTTCCATTTATGGTTATCTTAAAAATGATACCATGCTTGTTTCAATGTTTGGACTACAGCATATGTTTCAACCAGGAAATGAACAATCACATAGACATATAAAAATGTTATGGGCGTTAAGCACTGAAATGCAAACTCATAGAAAGATTACTATGTGATTATGCTTCAGCAATTTTGGTAAATATGAACATTGATTGTTACCAGAAAGTGAGTATTAACTTATCTAAGAGCAGCTGCAAACCTTAGTCTGAGAGGTGAGTTTGGAGCCCTGCCACACTCTTACCTTGAGTGTCTGTTCCTCCATCAATCTATACAGCCTTTCAACAATAATTATATTGTGCTTAATGATGTCACTTGTTTTGGCCGAGTACAGCAAACCTGCAACAAAAACATACAAGGCAGAATGGTTTGCTTTTGGTTATTACATTAGCAAGCTAAAACCCTGCTTTGCTAATTGAACATGGTTTATAAAGTGTTTTTATGTCTTCTACTCTAGCCAGAAGCAGCATGAAATACAGGCCATTGATGCAATACAGAATGCAAACACAATCAATGAAAGAACTACACATGGTTCTTACCCATGTCTACAGCGATTCATATATTGTAAAATTTCATCAACGTAACTCCATGTGGATTTGTACATGTAATGATAATGTCTATGCCAAGACTGGTCAACTCTATTGTCACATCGACATGCCCAGACATGTCCAGACATGCCCAGACCTTTTTTTCAGTCTAAAGTTGATTGGTTGCTTATGGGCTCTGTTGAGAAAAGCGCCACCGCTAATTAAAAAGGGCATGTAAACGGTCAAGCGTTGGCAAGCCAAATTGGGGGAAAAACCATGGCCGGATAAGGATGGTGAGGGCATCTTTTTCGCTTAATAATAGCTGTTTATGATTGTTTATAGTATAATTCCAATAATTAGATGATTGATTCTTATAATGAGAGATTATTCAGTTGTTAATTCGGGTTCAAATCCTTCAATCACAAAGTGTCGGAAATACACGCATGTAACGAACATCGATCCACCATATATATTAGTGAATGTACATGTGCATGTCTTTAGGTTTTCGACATCGTGTTTCTTGCCCTTGTTTAATTGTTTCATTTTTTCCTTGTTATCCTTCAGAACGGGCTTACCAGTGCCAGGGTTAATGGGCTTACGGGCTTATGATGAGCACTCCTCAGTGTTTAACAAGGGCTACCACGGTGCTTACCAGGGCTTTTCATCTACATGTACTGTGTACTTTCCATGCCAACAAGAACTTGATAATAAATACACCGTTTTCTGCTACGCCCAGTCTCTCCACCGGTCATTTCCTTTCCCCCTTTGCCATTCCATAACAGGCTCCGTGGGCCAACAAAGAGGGCGCCCTTTTACCTAGCAACGACATCCCATGGGTGGGACATTTAGCTGGTTGACGTGCACCGTTCCTTGTGCGTGACGCACGTACACCAGGGGATTTGTATTATGTACACGCAGTGGTACAGCCGCGCATCATGGCAAAATTACAGTCAGGCAACTGAGGCAAGATGGTGTTGGTCGGTCACCCCCAACTGTACTTTCTTTCCCAGTGAGGGGGTACTTGTGAACGGAGCTGATAGTCTAATGATACTGCTGTTTGTATCAAATTAACTTGTGTTCAATAACACCAAAAAAAAGGAAAAGAAGAGAACATATTGCAGCAAAGTATTGTCCCGTCACCGATTCTCTGCATATTCATCATGAGATAAATAGTTTGGAAAATTTCATCCAACTTTGTCCCATGACAAAGGCAGGGCTTTTGGCCACGAGTCTTTAACCGTGGCAAGGTGGCATTGGTTCAAAATTGATTGACAGACAACATAAGGTCTTATGCAGCAAAACGGCAATTGGAAATGAAGTGGAGACAGCATACTATCATTACATACAATTTTTAACCCCAACTCCCCAGCATGATTTACTAGGAACCATATCCATCCTGGCAAATTCCAATCCCATATGGGAAACTGAACACACATATTTCTGACTTCGTTTCTGGAGGTGTGCCAACCCAATGTAAAAGACTGTCAGTTTAGGGGTACTGTACCCATCCTGACAGATTCCAACAAAACATGCTGTTGGGGTTTGATGGGTTGAGTTCTGTTAGGGTTAAGAGACTACAGAAATTAACAAAGAGTTCTAAAAATAGAGAGGTAGATGGATGGCTGGTGAATCCTGATTTGAGTGTAATCGCCCACTCATCAGCTGGCTAGAGCATTATGAACCCTAGTCAGCATACCTTTGGTATCACTTCGGCCTATAGCATCTATACATACTGGGCTGCCTTCCTTATCATATCCACACATACCACCTGGCCAATACTTCTTCAAAACCTGAGGGATAAAGACCACAATTGAGAAAAAGGATAAATACCAAAAAGAAACCACTAAAAAGATGCACACCTCATAGTACTATAAAAACAACTACATGACATGTAGTTGTTTTTATGTACTTGGTGCCAATATGGTCAGCGGCAGTTAGCCTCTTAAGACAGAACAGAAATCCCAAGTTTTTATGTTGCATTGTACATGGACAATAATAATAATAATATTAATATAAACAATAATACCAGAGTCTTATATAGCGCAGGTGTCTACCAACAATTAGGTACTCAAGGCGCTGGAAATACAATGAACTAGATGTAATATAAAACATCCAGGACATAAACTCTATCTTGACACATGCAGGTACCTAAGATACCCTGATAATATTCAGGGGAGTCAACAGCCTAACAGATGTCATATTGTAGCGCAATGCATGCAAGATATAGCATGGCTGTGAGGGTGTAATCCCTTACTGATTGCCAGCAATGCCTGTGCTTTCACACAGGGTGCGGGGACACCAGCTTGCAGTGCACGCCCTAAGATGGCTGAGATTGTTAGGTGGAGAAACATGGGCCAAGGTTCCATAACCTGAAACCAAATTTTGAAACCAGGGTTCAATTTCAAGGATCTGCAGAAAATACAGATGAGTAAATTTGCAAGTAAGCTGGGAAGCAGCTACAAGCAAGCTGTGTGTGCTAGTAAACCGTGTCTGTGCTTAGGAAACATTGCTCGCAGAGCTGCAGCTCAATGAATTAGCCCCAGGCAACAGCACACCAACTACAAATACTATGTGATAATCAGCAGAGGTTATTAGAGCTCTGTATAGAATCCAATTATCAATCACAGTCTTTGTTTACAATAGCAGTCAGAAGTCGCTAATGTGTCGGAATCTGGCTTTTTAACTCTTGCAGCTTATGGTGCATGTGGTTCTCTTGTAGTCAATCACATATCGTAGCAACCTCATAAATTGGAGCAAATACAGTCCATGAAGATGAGGATGAGTGAGAAGAAAGCTGCAATACATTCATGTATGGCTCACCTCAGGAATATCCTCACTGGACAATTTGGATGTCTGCATCTTGCTCTTCCATTTCACATCCTGTTCAAGTAATGACACAGACCTCATGGCGTTATGCTAGGAATACAACATGGTGGGAGGACAAGTACCAGTAGTGTGAAATAACCTTTGCTGAGGCTATAACTGATTTGACTGCCTCCGGACGTGAAGTGGGGGGAAAAAGTCAAAATGAAAAAATTGTAAAAAGCTCTAAATCCTTACAAATAAAAAGTGTACCTATCTATGGATTTGCAGATTAGTATAATAATGAGGCTTGGCCTCGCCGACTGTTGCCACTTTGCAGGCATGTCACCCACTATTTTTAGGCGATCAATATACACATACAAATACAGGTACACCCAAATACACGCATGTTCACCTTTTGCGCTTTATAGTATAGAAGTGATTAATAAAAGCCTTAATGAACATTGGTTGTGAAAGTGGATGTCATGTCTTCTATGAATGACCCTATACCGGTATGTGTTCCAAGAGGATAGAATGAAACAGAACTCCAGCTTTACCTTAACTAAAAGAGAAAACCATTATACTCACACTCCTGAAAAGAGTCTCGCTAGATTTCAGGTCAAACTTTCTAGCTGAAATAAAGCAAACAAGTTCTTTCAAACCTCTGTTGTCGTGTCATTGTACAGCATGATCAATTAAAAGTGATACTGTGCTCACAAGTCCCCGGAAAAAAGAAATCATGTGTTTCAATTTTGTTATTTTTTACTAAAGATCAAATTGGTATTTCAAGCCTAGATGCATGTTACATGCAAGTCTGAATCGTGTTTTCTGAAATGCAATAAGACTCAAGTGTGATTTGAAAAGATTACAATAAAATTACAGAATGATCAGAAAATAGGCCATGATGTTTAATGTCAAACTCTGAAGTAAATAAATTTCAAAAGATATTTTCAATACAAATGAAATTTCAAAAGAATACCACATTAAGTGTTATATCCTCCTACATAATAACCAAATATGAAGTACAATTAGAATTTCGAGAACTTTGTAAAAAGAACAGGTTTACAAATATTCCAGGAAAAAAATGCCCAGTCCATATCATTGGTTCTTCTAATGGTTGATGTACTAAACTCAAGAAGCTAGATATGTGACACAGAAATGTTCCCGATACTTTGTCATGACAAACCTCTAAGGAATCGAAGTAACACGTGATCATCATGGTAGTCCTGCACAACATCCCCAACGTTGAGTCTGAACTAATAAAAGAAGACAAACAAATACACTTGAACAGTTTGCTTGTCTGAAACAGAATGATACAAATAGCTGTTGCATTGATGAACTGAACCGTATGGGTGTGACATTTACACATCAATGTACATTTTCCAAAATGTTTAAACAGAAGCAAAATTTGATAATTGAACACAGTTGTGTTCGGCATTTCTGTTGAATTTTACCAACACCACCTGGGTACTTGATCACATCCCCGGATGTTTAGGCTTGTACAGTTTAGGAATGGCTGACATACAGGTACACTATCTAATTTAGAATGTGTTTGGCTGTTTTGATAGACTGTTCAGTGTCTCTCCTACATGCGAATTCATAACCTCTCACTCTGTCAGGAAGAAGCCTTGGTAAAATGCAGGCCTAACATTGAAACGTTTCAATAGTGCATAGTGCAATAGTGCGTGAAAGATTTGTCAAATTGAAATAGATTCACATGACACGTATATATACCGGTATGTACATTCAGTGCGTCAGCACAAACATTTCTTTTGCATATATAAAACATGTTTAAGTACATGTCCATGGTTTATGCATTAACTTTGTGAAGGGATACAGGAATACATGGATATGTTAATGGCTAAACTAATAGCCCCACTTTCTTTCAAGTTGTCCATACATGTGGGCTGTAGTGTACACATGTCGATACCTAAATTAGACCCGACTGCACCATTTAATATAGGTCTTTAGCTCTTCAGTGTAAACAGTTTTGTGTTTGTGTAGTGCTGGTCATGATTAAAATAACTGCCATGACTCTCTTTGCACTGCAATAAAAAAAAACAAATGGGAGAAATATGAGGGTAGCTATCATACGTTGAATTGTTACAGTTTCATTTTGTCATGAAGAGGAAACAGATATTTAGAAGAAAAATAAAATGAAGCTTAAAACATCTTGTTCATTTTAAATAGGACGATCTGCACAAAAATAATGTCTCTTATAGTCAGGCAGATTGGCGCACAATATGATGGAATTGTTCATTAGATGATAAAAGCATGACATTTGGCACACAGTCAGAGTATGTCATGGGAAAGATATTTGGCTATAAGGCCATCGCAGACTTGTCCTTTGAAAAAATATATCACAGAATAACATGCAGTGGCAGCCATTTTGAATCTTTTGGCGATGGCCCTAAAGCCAAATATCTTTTCCATGACATACATGTACTCTGACTGGGTGCCAAATTTCATGCCTTTATTATCAAACTGAACAATCTTATCACCAATCTGATGTACTATGTATATACATGTATGTGTGTCCTAACCAAACAAACATTAAAGTTAATTCATATCAATTTGTTTAAAAACATGATCATTTAAGTTCTAAAATCATCCAGAAACTAGTTATTGCAGTAAACAATGACGTGATACAGTTACTGGGGGACAAGCTACATGTACAGCATTTACAGGTCGATTCACACTGTACATGGTAACAGGACTCCGCTCAGTGAATACAAAATGAGAAGTGTACACTGTGCATGCACATACCGCAGGGTCAAGCGATCAACTGATGTGCACCATGCATGACTACATAGTGTAACAGGATGAATTTGGATCGTAGAAAATACCAAACAAACATCGATGGAGAAAGAGAATTTCTGCAAATTAATTCCCAGAATGTGATCGCTCTTCTCTGTGTTTGTATTTTCCGTTAAGTATAACGAGATTTTACCACTCGGACTTGATACACCGCAGCGTTTTTCTACAAAATGGTCGGCCACACTGAGCACGTGCTTTTCGAGTCCCACCTTGCACTCAGACTGCATGTACACTTTCCTGAGCCGCTTTTACCGACTCGCACTGGACTTATCGTCTTGCGAAAAGTGGCCTGCTCAGTTTTCCTGGGCACCTGGTCAGTTTTCCTGGGCAGCAGTTGGCCAGTAGAAGTAACTGCTGGACTCAGGAAAAGTAACTGAGTGGAAAACGTCCCAGGCTGTCCGCACAGGACTTAAAATGGGAAAAGTACCCATTGTTTTGGTAAGCTTTACCAAAATAAGTCCAGTGCGGACAGGGCTTTAGAAACCAGAGTGATTTTTTTTTAAATTCTCTGCCCCGCATTTGACCCATCAACACATGGGTAGTTATGAAATGATGGAGCTTTGTTACAACTGATAATGTAATAACCAACGGATAACGTATCACCAACCAAGAATGTAACAACAATTGACTGATAGTGTAGTACATTCTACTACACTATCGGTCAATATCAGTTAGTGCTACAGTATTCGGTCAATTGTTGTTATATTATCAGTTGGTGATACATTACCCGTTGATTGTTACATAATCAGTTGTGACAAGCTGGTCATGACATCGCCCTCAAAACCTTAACAAAACTTCAAATAATTCTGCATAGTTTATCACCCATGTGTCAATGTCTACTACAGTGCAACATGCTGCTTTTCATTTCTGATAAATTGCCACACTTCTGTGTAAACACATGTAGACCCTAAAGCACCACTTAGCATTGAAGCAAAGTCAATGCCAGGTGGAATATACTTCTCATTCAAACAATTATCAAACCAGGAAGGAATGAGGAACAGTGTAGCACACTGCATCCCATACAGAAACAATAAGTATGACTGCAACATATCTAATTAGGACCCAATGTTCAGCTGCAATATGGTCAAAGGTATCGGTATTACCGGTCTTTACCTTTCTTAGTTTTTCTTGTTGTTTGCAGCTCAAGTTATCTAAAGTTCCACTCATAGCGGTAAAGCAATGATAGCCGGAGATACAGCCAGAATCACACCTAATACAGCCTAAACAATAAACACAAGGAAACAAGTCGGTTTGAAACAGCTCACACAAACAGTCAAGAAATATCATCAAAACAATATCAGTTGATTTCCATGTGAATCTATTAAAGTATTTATAAACATATCTGTTTAATATTGAAATGCTTACATGAGTGATCATTTCTCTCATCTGGTTAAAGTTAGCAGTTTCTTTTCCAAAAGCTAAAATAAGAAGCAAACTTTAATTGCTATAATTCTATCATTCATACTTTAACCCAAATATAACTCCCTAGGCCTTTTTGCTAGGAGGTAGCCTCAATCCTGCAAGATCCTCCAATTGGCCACACGGAAAAATAGCATACATGTATCTGGGTGATCACTGCCTGAATCCTGCAAAATCGTGCGGCCGTGACTGTCAATATGTTGGCCAATGACATCCTGGAGCAGTGCGGAAGATTTCAAGCATAATCCAGGCCTATATTTATGCACGGCCGAGCAAAAACAACACAAGGTCCGGCCAAAAACCATGACAAAGTGCATCCTACTATTAACTCAGTAACGCACTTTTGCCATGTAACCTCAATCCTCCAAATTCCTCCACTTTGGCAAAGAGCACTTTGAAGGATTCAGGGCGGTTAGGGTTAACGTTCAGCAACATTGAAGTTGGGCATTTGAAGGTAATCCATGTACCTTGTTGATGGTTCCTTGCTTTGTAGGACTCAGTGAGTAATGCCTAGCATACACAGAAGATTCCCACTCATACAAGCTGGTCATGAGATGCAGTCATGTGATGTACTGAAATCAACCAGAACATGGTAAGAACTTTATATTGATTTGTTTCTTGTAATCAATCGACTGAAACTATGCATTTACATCTACTTCATGTAATATAACACATTATTACATGGTTAATAATGGCGTCTGTAAAAGAATATCAAAGCAGAAAGATACATTGTACAATCATAAGATGTGTTACATCAGATAAAAAAGTTCCTCTATCAACAAAACAAATTCCGTATAAACAGGTGACGACATTTTTTGGCCAGTAATAAGGATTGAAAATACAAGGAAAGTAACAAAGGAAGTCCAAATTTTGCACAAAAAAGCTTATTTTACAGGATAAGATGAAAAAGCGCCAGATAGATGATCAAGTGATCAAGGAAATAACACACAAATCCAAGGAAACAACACACATATTCGGATACTGTATTAATTACAATGCTGATGATAGAAAAGTAAAGTAATAATGCTGATAATGATGGAAATGAAACATAACATCACTGTCAAAACAATATATTACATATACCGGTAGCAATGCAGGTGGCAGGTGGATAAATACATGTACATATGGAAGCCATATTAGTTACTCCCAACAGCGGTGGAAAGGTAATATATACAGTACTAAGTACTATCGCCAGACGATGTCCGAATGTTAAAAAAGGTGATAAGTTGGGTCCAAGTTACTTGGACCATGGAGCTTTATAGCTCCATGCCCGGACTAAGGTACGGAAGCTTGAATTGCCTTCCGGGATAGCGCGTTACCGTGATAATTTATCACAGAAATCCTGAATTCAAAGATAAATCCTTCCGCGATACCGCGTTACTGTGATAATTTATCACAGAAATCCTGAATTCAGAGATAATTCCTTCCTTGATACAGCGTTACCGCGATAACTTATCACAGAAATCCTGAATTCAGAGATAATTCCTTCCTCGATACCGCGTTACCGCGATAACTTATCACAGAAATCCGGAATTCAAAGATAATTCCTTCCTCGTTACCGATTTGTCTTTGAATTCCGGATTTCTGCGATAAGTTATCACGGTAACGCGGTATTGAGGAATAGGTATCTCTGAACTCCGGATTGCTGTGATAAATTATCACAGTAACGCGGTATCGAGGAAGTGATTATCTTTGAATTCAGGATTTCTGCGATAAGTTATCACGGTAACGCGGTATCGAGGAAAAGGTATCTCTGAATTCCGGATTTCTGTGATAAATTATCACGGTAACGCGGTATCGAGGAAGGGATTATCTTTGAATTCCGGATTTCTGTGATAAGTTATCACGGTAACGCGGTATCGAGGAAAAGGTATCTCTGAATTCCGGATTTCTGTGATAAATTATCACGGTAACGCGGTATCGAGGAAGGGATTATCTTTGAATTCCGGATTTCTGTGATAAGTTATCGCGGTAACGCGGTATCGAGGAAAAGGTATCTCTGAATTCCGGATTTCTGTGATAAATTATCACGGTAACGCGGTATCGAGGAAGGGATTATCTTTGAATTCCGGATTTCTGTGATAAATTATCACGGTAACGCGGTATCGAGGAAAAGGTATCTCTGAATTCCGGATTTCTGTGATAAATTATCACGGTAACGCGGTATCGAGGAAGGGAGTATCTTTGAATTCTGGATTTCTGTGATAAGTTATCACGGTAACGCGGTATTGAGGAATAGGTATCTTTGAATTCCGGATTGCTGTGATAAATTATCACAGTAACGCGGTATCGAGGAAGTGATTATCTTTGAATTCCGGATTTCTGTGATAAGTTATCGCGGTAACGCGGTATCGAGGAAGGAATTATCTCTGAATTCAGGATTTCTGTGATAAATTATCACGGTAACGCGGTATCGAGGAATACGGGGGTCAGACAAGTCGACCGTTGAGACAACTCGACTCGGGACAAGTCGACCGTTGAGACAACTCGACCGTTGAGACAACTCGACCGTATGTGCGATAAATGGAAAGACAAGTCGACCGTTGAGACAAGTCGCCTCGCATGTTTTGGGCCTAGTTTCAGGGATAGTACCGGGGATTTTTGACGGCGGCTGATCGCCGTTTGGGAGTGATGACACATGAGGTTTTTTTGTTGCATATAACAGAGCCGATATAGCGCAGCGTGATTGTTTTTGCCGGGCCTGTGCGCCCACTTGCCGCGCCGGTTGACATGCCCGCGTGCCGGGCCGGGCCCGGTCCTCGCGGGCAGGGCACGCCGGCCCAACGCGACGGCCACCGGATCGGATCGCCCTCTGTGCATCGAGTATGCCCGCGCCACGCCCGGGACCGGTCCTGCCACAGATTTTTGCAACTTTTTTCGCTCCACGTGTATACATTTCCATTAAGTCGAGCTGTCTCAACGGTCGAGTTGTCCCGAGTCGAATTGTCTCAACGGTCGACTTGTCTCAACGGTCGACTTGTCCTGAGTCGAGTTGTCTCAACCGTCGACTTGTCTGACATTCAGGAATACGTATCTTTGAATTCCGGATTTCTGTGATAAATTATCACGGTAACGCGGTATCGAGGAATACGTATCTTTGATTTCTGGATTTCTGTGATAAATTATCACAGTAACGCGGTATCGAGGAAGGATTTATCTTTGAATTCCGGATTTCTGTGATAAAATATCACGGTAACGCGGTATCGAGGAAGGATTTATCTTTGAATTCCGGACTTCTGCGATAAATTATCACAGTAACGCAGTATCGAGGAAGGATTTATCTTTAAATTCCGGATTTCTGTGATAAATTATCACGGTAACGCGGTATGGCGCGATGGCGGAAGGCAATTCAAGCTTCCGTACTAAGGCTAACCATGGAGAAATAAATGGGCTTAACCACTGACCATGCTGACTTTTTTACTCACCGACACCATTCACTCACGTCCATTCGGCTAACCATCGCCCACTCAACAAGTACCTCTAAATATTATAGTAGTTATGGCTAAAAGCGTATCCCCTGCGAACTTTGGGATCTTCTAGTCAGTTTGAAGAATTGTTGAAAGGATCGTAATTCGTGTGCTGCTAGCTTGCTGGCAAAAACGTAAACATGGGCCCGGCTAAAATAACATAGCGCCCTCTATTGGAAATATGCATTATTCGTGCGCGGATGTGACACAAGAGGGCGCTGTTTCACTGTTACAGCAATTTTGCGACGGGGAGCGCTATCTGGGCGCCTGCCGGGTACGGTCATGAATATACAACATATGACGTATGCGTCATGAATAAAACAACGTACACTAATGCCTGGGTCAATTGTACAGGCGCATACACGCATAGATCTATGCATACACGTATGCACACGCATGTAACCCCACTTGCGCCCGGCCGCCTGTACTCCACATGCGCCCATGATTTTGTACTTGGTTTTTTTTCTTTCAACAATGTAATGTACCCCACTTGCGCCCGCCTGTACTCCACATGCGCCCATGATTTTGTACTTGGTTGTTTTTCTTTCAACAATGTAATGTACCCCACTTGCGCCCGCCTGTACTCCACATGCGCCCATGATTTTGTACTTGTTTTTTTTCTTTCAACAATGTAATGTACCCACACAAAAAAAACAAGTACAAAATCATGGGCGCATGTGGAGTACTGGCGGGCGCAAGTGGGGTACATTACATTGTTGAAAGAAAAAAAACAAGTACAAAACTAGAAATGTGTTTGTGGACAAACACTGAGCTGTTTCGACTGTTTTATTAATGACTGCCGTAAAGGAATTTCATCCAGGTCGAATGATCATGTACATGTGTATTCTATACAAAAGTGTCTATCCTCTGTAAAAAAACAACCCATTTTTTCACGACGTCATGATGATGGCACACATTTTTGAAATTTTCTGTATCTATATACGACCTAACAAACCTTTTTCAAAAAAGAATTTCGAATTTACCATGTTCCATTGATGAAATATTAGTAAAAGGTCCAAAAATTGAATAATTCATATAAAATCACATGATGACGTCATCGTGACTATACTGCAATTTTTGTCTATAACACTTCCTAGAATATCTGCATACCGACATTGAACCCAATCGGACATCAGGTTCTTTGAGGTCGATCGGACCTTATTTTGTATAATTTTTGAAAAATTTGAAGAAAATATTAAAATTTGAAAAAGTCATAAAAATTCAGACGATGACGTCATGATGATGTCACTTCAGATTTTGAATGCTTTTATCTAGACCTACCTACCCACAAAGTTTCATAACGATCGGACATACCCTTATATGTGCATTAAAAAATCACGTTTTTGATGACGTCATCATGACGTCACACATTTTACGAAATTGTGTGCATCTATGTATGACCTAACAAACCTTTTACAAAAAGAATTTTGAATTTACCACATTCGGTTTATGAGATATGAGTAAAAGGTCCAAAAATTGAATAATTAAAATCACGCGATGACGTCATCATGACGTCACTGCAATTGTTGTCTATAACACGTCCCGGAATACTTGCATACCAAGTTTGAACCAAATCGAACTTCCGGTTCTGTAGATATAGGGCCTTAAATTATGCTCTTTTAGGATGACGTCACGTGACACCTGATGACGTCATGATGACGTCATGATTCGGCATACATCTTCAGATGGTGGTCTAAGTGTGTACCAGGTTTAAAGTCGATCGGATTTGAAAAAAGTCCAAAAGTGCCTTGTAGAACGAAAACACGTGTTATCCTATGAGAAAAAAATTATAAAAACCAAACGATGACGTCATCGTGACGTCACTTTAAACTTTGTATACTAGTACCATTATTTACCTACCCACTAAGTTTCATGACAGTCAGACCTTTCCTTATATGTATTTTGAAAAATCGTATTTTTATGACGTCATAATGATGTCAGATATTTGTTTCAAATACCTTTGTGCAAATACCTTTTACCTAACAGACCAAATACACAATGAATTTTGAATTTTGCATGTTACGTTAATGAGATATGGCTAAAAGGTCAAAAACTTCAAATATGCCTATAAAATGTCCGGATGACGTCATCATGGCGTCACCTATTTGTTTTTATACCTATAACACATCCCGTTCTAGCCACATACCAAGTTTCAACCCAATCAGACTTACAGTTCTGTAGATATAGGACTTTATAATATGCACGTAAATTTTCAAAAATCAATTAAAAAAAATAGGTGATGACGTCATCATGACGTCATATTCTTGGCATAATTTTTGTATGAGGGTCTCCCTTGGCTGTAACATTGATGACGATTCCAGATCGCCAAGTTATAGAAATGGTGACTTGAAAACGTGTACAAAGTCAATGGGCTATTGTACAAAGTTAACGGGCTAATCCCACTGCAGAAAAATTTGCACCCTTAAATTTGTAATTTGCCTTTGAACTGAAACATTTTCATGAAATATTACTTGATATTCTGACCCTTAGGAATATGTTCAATCGAATGAAAGCGCAAAAAAAATACGATTTCTCTTTTCTTCTCAAAGTATGTCTCGGCTGAAGTTCAGAACTACTCAGTAAGATATCAGTGTGGTATAGGAAAAGACTTGTGGAAAATCCCAATGCAGAAAAACTGCACCTTTAAATACGTAACATAGGGCTTTTCGGCATTATAATTTTTTATGATACGTCCCTGACTATGCGCATGCATGAACATAAAATCTGTCAAAGTTAGCCGAAAATCGGCTAAAACGGTCACTGTGATGTGGACAGGATTTGACCTCGGCAACACGTGCTCTGCAGACTGACTGACAAACGATGTATGTGCGTAACGTACGTGTATGTACAAACATGTATAGGCGTTCTGTGCATGTTTTAGAGCAGAGGTATTGTCAACCTGAAGTTTTAAGCGTGCGCAGGGCATGTCCGAGTGGGCTTTTTGCCTCGAAGTTTTCAAATGTTTTAGACCTACCCTTAAATCGACAATTAAAGTAAAAACTAACTTAAAAACTGCCATGGTTGATTTTCCAGGAATTTTTAAATGAAAAAGACTCTTTTCATTATAACTTCCGGTCTGATAATGTCATGCACCTTAAACTTCGCACACGTCTTAAGGGGGTCAAGGTCATTGCATACACCAATGTTTAGGCGATTCCAACAAACTTTGCCACAGACATCTATTCAAAATACATTTTTGAAAATTTTAAACCTGTCGCTAGAGGGCGCTCGAAGATTGCATGACGTCATCGGTAGATGATTTGAAGAATACTATCAGCCAAGAGACTAACACCATTAAAAACAAGTTCATATCTATTACCACTTTTAAATAATCAGACACTTCCGGTTTAGGCCTTTTTCGACCGGAAGCAAGGGTCACATGATTTTACGCACACTGAATGAAATAAAGACCTCAACCTACTCTACCACTTGCCGGCAACAGAATGCTGCGGACGCGTACGGTTGATTTCTTATGCATTTTTAAATATTAAAAGGGTCACAATTTAATTGCCTATAAATAAACACCGGATGACGTCATCATGACGTCATCATTACACAATGTTGTTTAAGTTAGGGTCATTGCTTGGACAAAGATTGGTGTAAATGAATTACTGGCAAAGTGTCGAAAATGCCCTCTGAAAATTGACATTTTTTTTTAAATTTCTGTGTACAAAGTCTATGGGAAAAATTAAATATTCAAAATTCTATAATAAATCACATGATGACGTCAGCATGACGAAAAGTTTCAGCACACATCTTCAGATGGTGGGCTTAGTGTGTGCCAGGCTTGAAGTCGATCGGATTTGAAAAAAAGCCAAAAGTGACTTGTAGAACGAAAACACGTGTTATCCTATGAGAAAAAAGTCTGAAAAATAAAAGAGAAAAAAAACTAGAAATTGTGGTTGTGAACAACCACAGAGCTGTTCCCAATATTGATTATCTGTTGGACCCATAGACATACAAGTAGAGATCTATGTCTGTTTGCAACAGAACATAGGGCTTTTCCGCATTATGATTTGTTTTTATCAATAATACGTCCCTGACTATGAACATAAAATTTGTCAAAGTTAGCCGAAAATCGGCTAAAACGGTCACTGTGGACAGGATTTGACCTCAGCAACACGTGCGCTGCGGGCTGACTGACATACGATATGTACAACGTACGTGCATGTACATGTACATTGTGGACACACTGTGCATGTTTTAAAGCAGAGGTATTGTCAACCTGAAGTTATAAGCGTGCGTAGGGCATGTCCGAGTTTGTTTATTGCCTCAAAGCTTTTAAATGTTTTAGACCTACCCTTCAATAGACAATTAAAGTAAAAACTAATATAAAAACTGCCATGGTTGATTTTTCAGGAATTTTCTAAGGAAAAAGGGTCTTTTCATTATAACTTCCGGTTTGATGACGTCATACACCTTAAACTTCGCACACGTCTTAAGTGGGTCACGGTCATCATATACACCAATATTAATGCGATTCCGACTAACTTCGCCACAGACATCTATTCAAAATACATTTTTGCAAATTTTCAACCTGTCGCTAGAGGGCGCTAGAAGATTGCATGACGTCATCGGTATATGATTTGAAGAATACTATCAGCCAAGAGACTAACACCGTTAAAAGCAAGTTCATATCTATTACCACTTTTAAATAATAAGCCACTTCCGGTTTTGGCCTTTTTCGACCGGAAGCAAGGGTCACGTGATTTCACGCACACTGAATGAAATAAAGACCTCAACCTACTCTACCACTTGCCGGCAACAGAATGCTGCGGACGCGTACGGTTGATTTCTTATACATTTTTAATTATTAAAAGTGTCACAATTTAATTGCCTATAAATATACACCGGATGACGTCATCATGACGTCATCATTACACAATGTTGTTTGAATAAGGGTCTTTGCTTGGACAAAGATTGGTGTAAATGAATAACTGGCAAAGAGTCGAAAATACCCCCTGAAAATTGACATTTTTTTTAAAATTTCTGTGTACAAAGTCTATGGGGAAAATTAAATATTCAAAATTCTATAATAAATCACGTGATGACGTCAGCATGACGAAACGTTTCGGGACACATCCTTAGATGATGGTTAATAACTATGCTGAGTTTAAAGTTGATCGGATTTAAAATAATTGCCAAAGTGGCTTGTAGAATAAAAACG